GTAGGGTTCGGATTTCGCCGCCGACCGGGGGCGCTGGGGCCTCCACCCACCCGCGCCGCGCGCAGCGCGCCAGGGGCGGGGAGCCCAGCGCCGATCCGAGAAATCCGCGCGGAGCTCCGACAGCTACTGCTCACGCATTTGTTTTTTCCTTCTTCGATGGTCAGCGCCAAGCTGAGAGGTTCGAGCGGAGCTCCGAAATGAATGCTTCTGATGTTTTTCTCCATCGGGTCATGCGATTGAGAAAGGCAAGTATCGTATTGGAAGGGGTTGGGCAGATACAGAGCACGACTATGCAATACATACGTTCAAGATGCGCGTCAACACGGATACTAGGATCAAATCTCTCAACTAAGACGAAGCCAGGACGAGGAATAAACTGGGTGAAGATACATCGGAAATCTCTGGGATCGGGCGGCTCTGGAGGATGTCTCGGGCTCCACGGCTTTCTCAGAGCGTTCTGGAACGCTCCGAGGGCCTTCCGGAACGCTCTGGAACGGACGTGTCCTTGTCCTGGCCCCGTCCGACCAAGCCCATCCCCCCAACTCGATATCTTGCCGTGGGTCGGACGTCCATTTCCCGTGCATTTTTCGGTTCCGTGCGTGCTTTCCTTGCTCGATGGTCCAGGATGGTCCTCAATGGTCCCCGCCGAGAAAACTGCACACGTCCGAGCGATGCCAGGATATGCCCCAGGGCCCCGACCTCGGCGACCCGACGAAGGCCCACGTCTTGGAGCGGCGGGCTGGCTGCCTCCGCCCCGGTGGAGGGCGCTCGGCGGGGCCAGCGGCGACGCACGCGGGGCGTGGTCGGCGGTGCGGTGGGCGCCGTCTCCTCGACGGGGCGGTGCCACGTCTTGTCCTCGAGCCTCAAAGGTCGAGGCGATGCTGGAGTTTTCTGGGCGTTCTTGGCCTTCGTCGGGTTTCCAGAGGTGAACCAGCCTCGAACGTATCCCTATCCCTAAGATGGGCGAGCAAAAAGCGAGGACAATCTCAGGGACAGGCCCTCAGAAACTGAGGGAATCCTTAAGATCGACATCGAGGTGAGGTGGTGTCAAACATAAGGATAGGGATATGCTTCAAACTGGTAAGAGGTCTCAGGAAGTCTCCAGGGACCTCTGGGGACCTTCAGGGGTCAGGGTCCGGGCCGGCAGCAACACTCACCAGGTGGATGTTGCGGGCCCAGGGCGCTTCACAACCCACGAGCACAGCTGGAGCAGGCCCAGTTACTTGTCGTCAGCACATGCAGCTTCTTCGTGTTTGTCGGCTGCCTCATCTGGCGCAATGCTTTAGCATATTGAAACTGCAAGCTGGAGCGCGCGGGGCTATTGACACCCTTGGCATCCATGGCGGGAACCAGTGGCCCAGAGTGAGGGGCAAATCCACACCGGGCGAGCTTAACATATGATTAGCTCTGGCGAGTCAGTATTTCCGCAGAACAACACATCCACGATGTACAATGTTGGTGACGGTAAGGCTTCCAGACATCTGTCCGCGTATGCTGGCGGACGGCCAGGAAAGACAGTGGCCCCCAGGTGAGTTCATGTTTTTTTTTACACGGGACCGAATCCCGTCACAAGCACGTGCCGCACGACGCCGCCAGCGCTGACGGAATACCTCTCCCCTTCGAGAGATCTTTGGAGAGGGGAGATCGCTCGGATCTCTTCCCATTGGGCTCCGTATGTCGATGTGGATGGACAGCTCCCTTGGCCAGAACGGCGCGCTCTTCGACAGCAGACGCTAGGCCACAAAGCCACGGCGCCTCGACCGCGGTGCCCGCCATGCTCGGCCGGCACCCGGCCTGCACCCGGCCTGCATCACGTGCGCAGGAGGGCCACGACCAGCGGTGCACCCGCACTCTCCCAGAGACCGCTCGCGCGACTCCATCCACCAAGACCAGGACACGAACAGAGGAGGAGGAGGAGGAGGAGGAGGAGGAGGAGGAGGAGGAGGAGGAGGAGGAGGAGGAGGCGGAGGAGGCGGAGGCGGAGGCGGAGGCGGAGGCGGAGGCGGATAAATCGGGGATCTCTGAGATCTGGCAGTTCTGGAGGATGCTTCGGGCGCCGCGGGCTTTTCAACAAAAAGGTCCAGGACGCTCTGGAACTTGTCCCTGTCCGATCCACCTCCACCCCCCCCCCGCCTCCGCTGCTTGCTTGTCGCCTGGAGTTCCAGGCCTGAAGCGAGAGTGGAGAAGACGGCGGCCTTCGGGCGCCAGACGCACGAATGGCACATTATGCAGGTGATGCGATCTTGATCCAGCCCACCACGAAGTGGTGATCGCGAGATACACGCAGAGACCATTCCACTGCCGATGCCGACACTGATGCCAATACCTCCACTTGCTTCTCCCCCTCTTCTCTCATATGTTATCCCTTTGTCTTCATCGTTCTGGCTTGCTCTTCCTCCTCCTGGGTCCTCCTGGCTCCTCCTCTTTCGCCTCCGTCGTCCGCCTCCCAGAAAATGATTCTCGACCTCTCGTCCTCCCGAACGCCTGGCTTATGCAGGAAAGTCCTCGACGACCTCTCCTCCTCCTCCTCCTCCTCCTCCTCCTCCTCCTCCTCCTCCTCCTGCACCTCCTTCTCCATGCTCAGCATGTAAAGGGAGGTAATCTGGAAATTACACACCTGGACCACGGCGATACGACCACTGAGATCGACTTCATACTTCGCCCGTCGGCCGACCATCGAATGACAGGTGCCCCTGCCAACTGAAACAACCACTTCCTGATGGAGTGTTTGTCCTCCTCCTACAGTAGGAGCCCGACCACAAGAAACCTTCCACAAGAAGCCCAACCCTGAGACCCTAGGACGTCCATTGACTTTTGGTGTGGGAAGGCCACGCTTCCCTTGGCAAAACCATCGAAACCCCGGGCACCCTGGAGGCAAACAGGGTGTTTCTTGGCATGGGTCGCCACTGTACTCTGTCTCCTCATCACCTCCGGATCAACGCACACTTTTTTCCGAAACTCCCAGAAAGCTCGCGCGTGCGTGAATCGTAATGGTCAAACGGCACTCGCACAGAGATCTCCCCGGGTTGCCGGAGGAAGCCCGACGTCGGCCCGAGGAGCCCCCAACGGTTCCCAGATGAGGCCAAGAGCGTGAGCCAAAGGCCTCCAGAGGCCTCCAGATGGGGACAAAAGCGCGAGCCAAAGGCCTCCAACGGCCTCCAGATGAGGCCCCAAAGGCCTCCAAGTGAGGCCTCCAGGTGAGGCCCGACGTTCCTGGAGGCCACAAGGTGATTTAGGAGGTTCCGGAAGCTCTTCGGTGGCCATCAGGAGTTCAGAGATGTCCATACATGGAGGCGCCGCGCACAAAGTCTGGACCAGTGCATGGCGGCCCGTACGAAGGCAGCCAGCGGCGACTCAAACAGCGCAGAAGACTTTTCGGCGGTCGGTGGACGTCAGTGGCTTGCAACAATCTCGCAACGATGTGCGACCGCCTGCGCTCGATAAGAAGAGGTTGGTCTTGAACCTTGCCGAGTAAGTACTCCTTTCTATCATGTCCTTGCTAGCTGTTATGATGGATCCCTTTTGCTGTGCCCCTTCCTTCCTTGCCTCTCTGTCAAGCCTCCAATTCTCTCTGACCGCTACTTGCGGTTAGGCCGCATGCCTAGGACTTTTTCAGACTTGTTGCGCATTCGTTTTCCCCTCATAAGCAAAGTTAACTCCACTGAAACATCAATCCGAAGACACGTCACGTTCTCTTCGGATGCCAGTACAGCGCGAACCTCATGATAATTGCATGAACATAATATTCGACCCAACAGCTGCATTGCAATCCGCCACCGTGCCCCCTGGCACGTTGAGGCGTGGAAGAATGCCAAGGGCTACCTGGTGAGGTTTTTTGGGATGCTAGTGAAGGATCGCCCCTCCGCCGGGCCGCAGACTCCTGCGTGCACCGCCCCTCCTTTCCGAGGCCACTTCCCACGTGCCCGCTCGAGGATGGTGCAGCTTCGCCATGGCAGCCAATGCCTAGTGCCCCATTCCACATTTGCACGCTCGAGGATCGTGCACATCCCGCATTCCCAGGCGCTGCTCCCACGCACTCCATGGCCACAATCCCTCGTGAAAACCGATGGATGTGCGTCCCGAGCTTCCAGACGGCCCGTGCAGGCAACCAAGGACACCAAGATGGCCCAATATGTCTCGAAAACGGCCCACGATGGCCCCAAGGCGGCCGAATATTGCTTCAAGACGGCCAAAGATGCCTCCAAGAAGCCCCAGAAGGGCCACAAGAGGATCTCAAACAGGGTCCGAAGAAACCAAAATCATTGATTTCCCTCTGGCCTTTGAATCATGTTTAAGACGGTCCGAGAAGACTCCACGATGACCCGAGAGGCATCCAAGACGGCCCCAAGACGGCCTAAGAGAGCTTCCAGTGTGACCGAAGACTGCCTTAGAAGGCCCTTCGACGGCCCAAGACGGCGCCAAGATGGCGAGGGGGAGGGGGAGGGGCAGGGGGAGGGTAGGAGGTCTATCGACCTCCGACACAACTGGGTGACCCGAGGCCCGTCCGGAGCCATCCCGCAGCGGCAACAAACACCACGACGCCCCGAGGCCGCGGCACCGCGACGCCGCGACACCGCGGCCGGGCTGCACCACGACACCACGGAAAGACGACACGATCCCGCGACCCCAGCAGCCCCACGGCTCCCAGACGTCTCGCCAAGACGACGCCCCGAAGACGCGACGCCTCAAGACAGCGGCGCCAGCATACCACAACACCCAGGCGCTGGAGAAGGACCAGGCCACCAAGCAGCGCCCCGGCCCTCAGCACCCTGACAGCTCGAGTGCAACTCTGTGCGCACGACGCGAACCCGCAGCACGGTGTTCTGGTCGAGGCGCCACCCGGCCAACTTCTGCACATGAGTTGAGGAAACGCGTGGAACAGTAAGGGGTAGATGCTGCGAGAGATCGTGACTTGCGCGGCCAGTCGAAGTGCAAAAGCGTTGAGAGAGAATGCGCAGAGGGAAGCTCTGCCATGAGAAGCCTTGGGATGCCGACAGCAGTCAGAAATCTGACCGCTCTACGATACAGCCCTCCCGCTCGCTGTCACTGCGCTGCAGCATCGATGCTTTCGTGAAGCTCGGTGTGACCTGCAAAAGTGAGGCATGAGGGGCAGAGACACGAGGCCGAAATAAAGATGTGGGAGTCCGACCACGCTGTCCTCCTCCCTCCCTTGACTTTCCTGATTCCTGCTCCGTTTGACTTAGCATACGTCAACACTTAACTGCGGCTAGGCTAGTCCTGTATCGCATCGAAGCCGCCGAAGCAGAGACGTCAAGCTACTTCGCGGGTGCTGAACGTTGGCGTAAACTGTCCTGGTGCTAAAAGTACTACACGGTATAATACCTGTCCTCGCGTCCCCGTCATTCTGGCCACCAATACATACGCGGAGGAAGTTCGGTGAACCCATCGGCGCATGTCGAGCCCGCGTTTGCGCGTTGGAGCTCCCTGCTGAACAGGCCTGAAACCTCCATGGGTTTCAAACACGCCTCATTGCGCCATGGCCCCCAAATACCCGCAGGATCATATGCCGCGCAAGGAAAAACCGAGCATGCCCCAGAGGGGCCCCCGGGTGCTCCGAAGGTCCCGCTGGATATCGCCAAGATGTCCCCGGATGCCCCCCAAAGACCCCGCGAGACCCCCCAGGCCCCCCACGGCGCTGCGTGGGCGCTTCGCGCCTGGCACCCTGCTCCTCGAAACTCTGCACGCGGGCGGAGGCGCGTACAATCGAGCAGAAGACAGCGTTCACGAGGTGGTCACTATGCACGGAGCCCGAAGAAAAATCACAGTATGTGCAACGAATGCCTGAGGAGAGGCAAGCACTCTGCGAAGCTTGGACTCCTCGACTCGCGGGGTGCGCGGTGCAGATCTGGCCACTGCCTCCCTCTGCTTTTCCCTCTCTGCTTCCCTCCCCCTCCCCCTCCACCTCTGTTCATCCTTCAAAGCATTTCGTCTCTTTCCCTGTTCCTATTCGCTTCTCCTCCCCCTCCCCCTCGTCTTCCTCCTCCCTCCTCCTTATCTCCCTCCCCTCCTCCTTCTCTCCCTCCCTCCTCCTTCCCTCCCTCCCCCTCCTTCCCCCCTCTCCCTACCTTCTTATTATTGTTCTTCTTCGCTCCTGCCCTCCTCCTTATCTCCCTCCCTCCTCCTTCTTGCCTTTCCCTGTCACCCTCTCCTTCTCCGTCTCCGCTTTCCTCTCCACCTCCTCCCCCCCCCTCCTCGCTTGGGTTCTCCCTGGGAGTTCTTGAGCCGTCCCGTCGTTGGGACATCATGGAAGCGCTGCTGGTGGTCTTGGGCCTTTATCTTCAGTTCCGCTTCTTCCAGCTTGGGGCCCTCTCTGGCTTCTTCTGGACCGCCTGGGCGGGCCTGGGGCCGCTCCAAAAACATGCTGGGCTGTCTTCTGGGCCGTGTCGGGCCTCTCTGGAAGGACCCTTGGGCCGTCTTGGAACATACTCTGGTTCCTCTGCGGCCGTTTTGCGTATGTGCCGGAAGCCCTGAACCCAAAAAGGCTGCCATCTTTGGGGGGCGCATCTTGTACTTCCGTCGGCTTCCGCCAACTTTCGCCGAACTTCCGCCGAGGAAGAGATGACAACTCATTCGACGTCAAAGGCAAAGCCCTCTCTGGAACGCCTCACATCTTGAAACGAAAGCCTGGGACGCCCAACGCACGGGAAAATGGCTTGGACAAGATTTGGGAAGCCTGGGGTCTCTCTTGGAGTAGGAACGCACACACAAAACGGCACAGACGTGAACTTTTGGGGGTCCGCGCGGATTTCTTGGATCGGCGCTGGACCCCCTCTGTGGAGCGCGGAGCGCGCCAGGGGCGGTACCGGAGTCGCCACCAGCGGGAATCAGCGCAGATCCAAGAAACCTGCGCGGAGCTCCGGAAACTTACGTTTATGCTGTTTGACCTTATTCGAGGAAGCTCTCGGGGACTCTTGGAAGCCTCGTGTGCCGTCCATTGCTGCCTCTGCTGTTTTTCTGTTGATTCCGCTTGGGCAACACCTGGGCGCACGCCTGATCGCCACGGGCCTGACAGCAAGGTCCAGCAGGACGCGAAAGAACCAACCTCTTCTTCTTCTTCTTCCTCCTCCTCCTCCTCCTCCTCCTCCTCCTCCTCCTCCTCCTCCTCCTCTCCCCCCTCCGCTCTTCCTCCTCCTCCTCCTCCTCCTCCTCCTCCTCCTCCTCCTCCTCCTCCTCCTCCTCCCTCTCCGCTGCTCCTCTCCTCCTTCTTTCCTCTTTTTCTCTCCTCCTCCCCTCGTTCTCCTCGTTCTCCTCCTTCTGCGCTACCACCTGAGGTGCACTCCGCCGCCTTCTCTGTTCACCCTCACTTTCCTCCTCCTTCTCGGCATCACAATCCCTTTCCCCCGTCCAGCTCATATTGCTCCTGCTCCTGTAAATGACTGATCCTCATCGCTTGTTCCTTCTCCTGCTGGCATTGCTCCTTGTCCTCCTCCTTCCTTCCTACTGCTCACTTCCCTCCTCCTCATCTCTCCTTACCTTATGACTTTCCTTCCATGTCCTCCTCCCCCCCTCACTCGTTCTTTCTTCTCATCCGTCTCTCTCCCCCCCTTCTTCCTCTTCGAAGCTCCTAGGGGCGTTGGTAGAGTTAGGAGCATCGCGACGCGGATCAACGCACTACAACCATCCGCCATCTCCTTTCTATGAGGGCGCCGGCAATACAACGACACCGAACCTAGCCAGGACCCTCTTGAGCCAGGGCGGGGAGAGAGACATCACTCCCTCTCTCTCTCTCTTTCTCTATGTTTCTCTTTCTCTATGTCTCTCTCTCTCTCTCTCTCTCTCCGTATATATGTACACATGCAGACGGGGAGAGAGAGAGAGGGAGAGAGGAGAGGAGAGGAGAGCGGCATAACTATATATGTGCGCAAATACATGTATGGTAAGGCCCCTCATCAAGACTACATGCAGTTGTCTATTTTGCTGTTGTTCTGAAGTAATGTGCTTCCCGTTTGCTCGTCTTCGTCGTCGCCCTCCACAACCTTTTACAAACATGTATTGCTTGTTGTTGCCGGTTGCAGCCAATGGGGGGGAGGTGGAGGCGACGCTGGGGGGAGAGGGCGCCGAGAACCAACAAAACAGGGGAATCTTCCAAAGAAGAAGGAAACACAGGAAAATCATAGCACCAAAACAAGGAAATCAACGAGATCAAGGCCCCGACTGGTTTCTTGACGGGGAACATTCTACAACCATCAATTTCCTTTAGTTATCCGCCAGTAGCCTGTCGGGGCTTTGGCTTCGTTTATTCCCAACCATCATGTGGTGTTGGGTCCTCGGTTTGAATAGACAACGCCTCGCGTCTCCTCCTCCTCCTCCTCTCCTCTCCGCTCCTCCTTCATGCTCCCTCATCCTCCCATCCCTGCCTCTGCCCCCCGCATCCAGTACAGCGATTCCTTGAGCTCCACCGAAGGCCCCAATGATGGCGTCCCCCCTGCCCAGTACAGCGCTTCGTGGCCGCATTAGGAGCTCCACCAAAAGCCCCAATGGAGGTGTTCGCATGCGTCCCCCCCGCCCCATGCAGTGCCTCGTGGCCCCGTAAATCCCCACTGCAACCCTCAGTGGCGTTGTTCGCAAGCGTCGCCCCCACTCAGTTCAGCGCTTCGTGGCCCAGAAGTAGTGTGCGCATAAATCTCCCCCACCCAGTACAATGTTTCGTGGCCTCATCGGGCTTTCCACCGAAGGCACCAGTGGCGGTGTTTGAATGGGTGCCCCCTGCCCAGCGGTTCGCCCCACGGGCGATGTTCGCATGGGCCCCCCCACCCAGTACAACGTTTCGTGGCCCCACAGGAAGCTCCACCGACGGCCCCAGTGGCGGTGTTCGCATGCGTTTCCCCCACTCATTACAGCGCTTCGTGGCCCCATGGGGTGCTCCACTGGAGGGCCCAATGGTGGTGTTCTCGTGCGTCTCCCCCACCCGATACAACGGCTCGTGGCCCCATAGGGAGCTCCACCGAAGGCCCCAGTGGCGGCGTCCGCACGCGTTTCCCGCTTTCAGTGCAGCGTCTCGTGGCCCCGTAGGGAGCTCCACCGAAGGTCCCAATGGCCGCAGGCCACATGCGCGTCTCCTCACATAATACAGCTCTTCGCATGTTTCATGGCACTATGAGGAGATCCCCCGACGCCGATGCAACGACGGTACTCACAACTGCATATGTTTGGGTCCTTGGCCAAGATAAAACATGAGTTTGCCTGGGGGCTGTTGTTTTCCAGTTTCCTTGTTGCTTGGTATGAATGTATTGTTGTTGTTGGTTTCTTCCACCCCGCGCGCAGCTGGGGCATCTCCCCATCTCCCTGGGGGGGGAACACTGGATGAATGCCCGTGCGACGTTGGCCGGCTCCCTGGCCCGCCCCAGGTCGGGCGCCACCCACAAGATGGACTTTGTGACATGTGCAACTTCCCGCTGCAGCGCAATGCTCACACAGGTGTCTGAAACCCAGACATGCTCGCATCGTTATAAAAAAAAACCCACAAAGGGAATTTTGTTGGCCAGTTTCGGACCCTTGACGGTCCCCGAGGCCGTCAAAAACCACTCGGGATGAAAAGCCGGCCTTGGGGAAAGGGTCGGAACTTCTGGGAACCCCGTAATGAAAAAGTCAATACGTAGCATGTCTGGAACCGAGGGTATCTAAAGCATCCGGCGCTCCAAAGTGTCCGACGGTTGGGCTGGATCAGAGCCGAATTCTGTTCGTCTTGAATCGTCTTTTGACGCTCCTGGGGCCTGGCGAGGGCCTCTGAGGGCAGAACACGGCTCAACACCGACCGTTCCAGCTTTCTCGGAGCCTCGGTTCTCTGGGGTGGCCCCCGCCTCCCGTTCCGTAGGCCAGGGGGACGAGAGGTCAAAATCGTTAACCTCTGAAACTTGCGGACTGCAGGTTTCAACCGGAGAGGTGAGTGAAAGATTTATGGATTCTATTGCTGACCCTCCTCCCCCCTCCTCATCTCCCTCCTCCTTCATCCCTCTACGTATTTTCTGAGCCATTGTTT